TCATGAGTAATTTGAACACCGTATTCACACAACGTAACATCTTCGATGAACTTCCAAGAAGCCATATTTTTTTTCACACAAAAGTATATGAAAGCTTTGGTACAAAGTGTTGAAAATATTGAAATGTGGTGTAAGGTGGAAGATGATGGTTAGGTATTTATAGAAAAAAATAATAAATTTTTGTTTTATTTTGTATGTATTTTTAAACAATTTTTATTAAGTTAATTAATATAGACCGTTGGATTTGAAAAAGATTGAAATCCAACAGCCCAAAATTGGACACGTGGCCAATGGTAAGAATTCTGACATTTTCTTCTTTTTTTTAAATGTATTTTTGCCGAAAATCTTGGATCATTGATCTAGGAATTGGACGGCTTAAATTTTGCCACGTTACTAGCCGTTGGGTTTGAAATTCAATTTTTTTTACCATTGGAAATCCAATGGTTCAAAAAACTAGCTGTTGGAAATCCAACAACAAAAGACGCGCCACATGGCCCATGTCCCGTGCCCCTTTAGAGCGCCTGCAATGCGGGGCCCGCCGTATGTCAACTGTTGGAAACGTGCACCCACTCATGCGTGTTTCCCATGTGCTTGAAGCAAAAAAAAATATCAAGCCTTCGTTAACGCCATGCTATCATCATCATGACGTTAGATAGGTTGATTCCTCACTTAGTCCATTTCGGGCCGGCCTACAAACTGGGGTGGACTTTGGGCCGACCTATATTGTGGAGTGGAGTTGGTTTTTTGGGTGCTAGCCTATTTTTTTAGGCTTTGGGCCAGCCTCCAAATGAGGGGTGGAGTTGCTTTTATGCCCCCATTTTCTTTCGTTTCTTACATTTTTTTTATGTATTAAGGGTTATAATTGTAATTTCATTGGTTTTGGTTGACCAAGTAAGTTCTAATAATATGTAGTTTGAGAGCGACAATCACACCTCCCCCTCTCTCTAAATGCAAGGTTAATTTCATGACATTGTAGGAGATTTTAATTATAAAAAAAAAAACAATAGATGCGGCCCTCCTCCCAATTCAAGTAGATGCATGTGAATTTCTTTCGTTCTTAATATTGGCACCCCTTGAACTCAAATTTTGCCTCCATCCCTGCTAGTAAAAGTGGCATTGGTTCCCAATGAAACATATGTTGTTTCACTATATAAACCACATACAATGAAAGCTTTTTGGGTAGAATAGTTCATGAGATTGTCATAACTCCTCACTGTGGTTCCTAATATTGTTCACCTTCAATTATTTTGGTCATTCTGTGAATCTCCGTTAAATTGAAGAAACCACCAATTCAAGGGGAATGGTTGATTTGACAAAAATACCCTCAATTTAATAGAGATTGCTCACAAAATGGACCAAAATGATTGATGGTGAACAATCTCAAGGACCACTTCTATCAATTTTAAATCTCAGGGACCAAAGTGAAGAGTTATGCCAATCATATGGACCATTTTGGATAAAAAGCCTAAAATGAATGTATAATAAGGTGCAACCTTTGAATAAAATTGTTATACCTTTTACAAGGCTTACAACAACCATTCAACAAGGGGTTCTTTTCTCTTTTCTCTTTTTTTTTTTTTTTTTTTTTTTTGAGTAAAAGGCTACTTTATTACCAACAACATAATTACATAAGAAAAAGCCCAAATACAACAAACACACAAACAAAAATATGGACCTCTATAGTAACCCAAAAGCCCAAAATAAAATTTTGAGCCCAATACATAAAAAACAACAAAGCAAACCCTAGCAGCTTCCTCCCAACTTCACCGCTGGATATTTGCTTGATAACCAACCGAAACAAACCTCCCCAACACAAACCTGAAATCAAGCTAAAAAAGACACAAACTAGGTGAAAACTAAGTGAACAAAGAACCGCAAACAGATCCCCAAACACCGCCACCGAGCACCATGATAATAACTACCACAAATCGAAGGAAGTCAGCGGGAAGAAGCAGCCCACAAGCAACAGTGCCAACAAAGGCAAACCCAACGAAAGAGGTGGTATGAACACCCGACCTAAAACTCTACACACCTTCTGGGTTAAATGCAAAAAAACGCAGTAAAAAGAAGTAGAAGCTGAACTAAATTGTAGAATCAATGATGAAGGATGGGGCCGATTGGGATGGAGAGTGAAAGGAAAGAGAAACAGAAGAAAATAGGGGGAAAATGTGGTTGATAGAAGGTGGAATGAAAGGGTAAAAAAGGGAAGAAAAAAAAGGAATAGGAGAAAAAGAGGAAAAGGGTGGGAGGAAATTGGACGGAATGAAGGAAACAAGTATCAAGAAGTTGAAAGAAGGAAATAGGGCGAAAAAGTTGAAGGAAGGTACAATGAAGGGGAAACGGGAAAAAGGGAAGAAGGGGCTACAAATAGAGAAGTCAGAGGGGTACAGGGGGTTGGAAGAAAGTGGTGAACATGATAGGTAAAGCCAGAAGATGAAGGAGAATGAAAGGAAAGGAAGAAAGAGAAATGAAAAGAAAAAGACTGTCACCGATCCTAGCCATAGCTAGGGTCAGCGGCTACAAGATGAATGTAATCGGGAAAAATGGTACCCTTTAGTTGTCTATAAGACCAACTCCAACCCTCAGAGTAAATCCTAAAATTTACCATCTATTCCCCCCGTTCCTTCCAACCCTTGGGCCAATTTAGGGTTATTGGTTAGAAGCTAAAATTGGGCCAAATACCAACCAGAAAAGTGGGCTGGGTTAGTGGTGTGCCCCACATATGAGGGTGGAAAACTGGATGTGAAACCTATAAAACATATATAAACACATGTGTGTCTTAGTACCACTGGTCACAAGTTAACCAATTGAATTATCAAAAACCAAGAATTGGTATACCTTAATTTCACATAATTCTACAACAAATAGGATTTCCAAAAGCTTATCAACATGATTTTTCCATACAAAGATTTATACAATCAGGCTATAAATGTTTGTCTCATACTCATACTCTTACAAAACCCTGTTGCCCAGGCCCAACACGCGCATGCAGCAATACGCGATAGCCGCAACACCAGTCGGACACCACCCACGTGGGCTTGTCCCCCGCATGTCGGAAGTAATAATGAGCCTAACGACTGTTTTTTTCTGATCCTACAGCCACAATTTAAATGGATGTTGGTTGATCCAACAGTCCACGTTCAAACTTTTTTTTTAATATATTATAAATTTATTTGAATCTGACGACTGAAATCGAATATAATCAAATCTAATGGTTAAAAAAATCTAAAGGCCCAAATTTAAATTCAGTGGCTAAAGTAATTAAAAAGATTATTTAACTCAAAATTCATACAAAAACTCTATACGTACCTATGTATTTGTTGAAACATCCACACAATACTCACTTTTCTTCTACAATTCTTCCATTTTTTTTTCCTACCATCTTCCAAAACCATTTCTTCCCATTTCCAAAATTTTCAAGATGGCAAAAGATCATATTAGAGGTTGTAATTGGTCATTTGAGGAAGATGTTGCTTTGTGCTTGGCATGGGTTTCTATTAACGAAGATGGTGCCGTTGGCACGAATTAAAATAAAAAGGTTTTGTGGGCTAAAATTGTTGATAAGTTCAATGAAATCTCCAACGCCAGCCAAATGGAAGTTGGTCGTGTTTACGATCGGTGGAAGGTTATCAACAAATCGTGCACTTTATGAAAATGAAGCTTGGAAAGAGCCGTGGTTGACATGACTAGTGGAAGGAGCGCCATAGAAGTGGTGAGTTTCTTTGCTGATATTTTATTTGTCATGTACATAATCTTATTTTGCAACTAATTGTATTTATGCATTCCTTGCATAAAGTGACAAAGTAATGGCAATTTATAAGACAAGAACTACGCCAAAAAATCAAGCTTTTAAGTTGCATCATGCTTGGGACATCTTCAAGGATTGTCTGAGGTGGGGAACCGATGCAGACCAACAATGGGGAAAATTATATGGTAGTGAAGCTGCAAGCACAAATGATGTCAATGAGTATGTCGATTCGGTGACCCCAACTTCTTCTTTTACAAGGCCCCCGAGAAGAGATAAGCAAAAGGAAGCAAAGAGAAAAGGGAAGATGCAAGATCCGGTTAGCACAACCATTTCTACCGGATTTGTAAAATTGGCCGAAAGTCATAGCTCTTGGGAGGAAGAAGCAGCCCTAATGCGCTTGTCCTTTATGAAGGTAGGGGAAAGGGAGCATGGAATGTTCAAATGTGATTTGATAAGGGAGGACCTCAACAAATACATTTATGATAGGAAGTTCTTACGTGATAAGCAAAAGGAAATTTTGTGAAGGAATGCCATAAGGAGTATATTTCAAGATGATGATTCACCTCAAGGCTATATCCCACATCCACCACCAAGTCCACCAGAAAATCCAACACCAAGTCAAGGTGGTGAATATTATCGTTAATTATCATTTGTATTAAGTTTTTGTAGTTTATTAATTATCATTTGTATTAAGTTTATGCAATTTATTAATTATCGTTTGTATTAATTTTATGTAGTTTATTAATTATCGTTTGTATTAAGTTTATGACTTATTAATTATTGTTTCTATTAATCATGGTTTCATGTGTTTTGTGTTTATACATCTCTATCATGTGTTTCATATTCTTCCATGGTGTTTCATGAGTTTCATGTGTCAGTTTAATAATTTTTCAATATTCATCGGAATTTATAATATTTTTAGATTAAAATGTTCATAAAATTAATTTAGGTTAGTCTTAATTAAAAAAAAATAGCCTAATTCATTCTTCAACAATCTGGAGTGAAAATTTTAAGCCAAGGGTTGGAGCAAAAAAGTTGTTTTTGGATTAAAACCTAAATTTTCTGAATTAAAAAATTTAAGTTTAAACCCAAGGAATAGAGATGGTCTAAATAGCTTAGCATTCTAACCTATTTCATTCATCCAATTCACTTGTACTAGAGACTAAGAAAATAAATCTTCTTTGGTTGCATCGAATGATAGGATACTTATTTAGCATCTTGTTATCTTGTTGGCTTTTGTCACATCCAAAGCTCATCAAGTTTTGAACTCTACTACCATTAAACCGATGATAAACATCAAAAATTAAAATAGAAAGCAAAAACCCTAATCACCATAAGAAACTACAGTAATCCCCATCTACAAGACAACAAGCTGCAAGTTCCCATTAGGATAGTTTAATAACAAAAGTATAGGCATAATCTCATATGTTTAACGGTTCAAGAGAAGTTCCTACTTTTTGCGCAAGCCTCTGAAATAGCCTTTAGGATCACGCGCAAACTCTTCCCTGTTTATGATTTTATCTTTTCCAGGAGCTTTCATCGTTTTCTTCTTTTTCTCACCAGCTGATGAAACAAGTGCAGATAAACCCCAAGCCATTAGACTAATTCCTGCAGCAACACCAACAACAATTGCACCTAAGCTGTACGAAGAATTGTTCTCATTTCCCGGCTTTGTGCTCTCCGAACTTTGTCTCCATTCCATTTTGCAACCTGAGAGCATGTACAATATGTAAGACCTATTTAATTTCTGGAGGCACTTTGAAATACTCTTTGTTATAGATTTTGTTATTTGATATCCTAACAGTTCGAAAAACAAAAATACTACATACACATCTTTAGCATAACACAACGGAAAAATGAACACCCATGAACAACTCAAAATGGTGCAAAGATAACAAGAAACTAAAAGAAAAAGTTAGAGAGAAAGGTACACAGATTAATCACAAAGGAAAGAAGATAAGTGAATTTTTTCGACAACATAAATTCGCCATGGCCCTGCGTGTAGGTGGCCGGGCATTTACATGAACATGAACTTGGAGATTGCAAGCGCACCACTATTATTTCCGGCTAATAAACGGTGTGTGTGATAAATACTTGAGCTATTTAACTTCTAACCTTTGTGATGATCGGATTGTTCTTAGTTGAGATTGATGAATTAAAAAAGAGGGATGGCTTTGTTTTCTTTGAACTTGTGTTCTGAGTTGCTGCCTCTACTTCTCTTATATAGGGAACTAAGGAGCTGCTAGCAATTTTCCACTTGCAATGTTAATGAGTAGCAGTATTGATTAACTAACGACTTTGGCATAAAGCCACTTCCAAACAAAAGGAAAGCTATTTCCCCTTTTCTTTATTGCCAAAGCAGGTCTGCTTATTCTATCGTTTCTTGTGAAAAAAAAAGTAAAAAAAAGAAGCAAGTCCACTCGAGGTGATTTTTTTTTTTAAAGAATATTATGAAAATGGATTTACAAAGGTGGAGATTGAATCGGATGCCCAGGTGATATTGCGAATTATTAACAAGAAGATTGAAGTAGATGATGATTTGGAATGTCTTTTGTTTGATATTGATTCTTTGGTGAAGCATATTGGAGATGTCAAAATCGGGTTTGTGGCTGCTCACACGGTTGCCTCGTTTACTGCCAAACATGGTGGTCCATTTGTTTCGGACGAGATAGACCCTGAGTTTTTATTTAATATTTTTGCTATGGATGTAAACATTTTAATTAAATTATAAATAAAGTCTATCTTTTGACAAAATAAAAAAAAGGATAGTTTTCAATTACCTATCTTTAAGTATCGTGAAATTTCAATTTTCATATCTAATGTGTTTTTTTTTATTCCACTTTCACACCTAAAGTTTAATTTTGTGACTCTTTTAAACTTCCGTTAGTTTTTCCGTTAACACGGTCGATAAAGCGTGATGTGGCGCTAATATAGAGAATAATTGTGCAAATGACATGGCATGGTAAGCCCCACGTGAAAATATGAAAAATAAAAACATTAAAACTTTTTTTTGACTAAATAAGAATTAACAAATAAAAATAAAGGATAAATTATTTTTCAATTCATTTAATATTTTATTTAAAAAATAAAAAAACAAAGAGAAAAGAAACCACTGCTCTTCTACACCGCACCATCGCCATTGATGCCAAGTACAACAATGCTTCAGCTCTTCAACTCCCCCAATTCCTGCAAAGGTTTCAATTCCCAAACAATTTTCTCAGCCTCTCTACAAACTTACTCCCCGGATAAAAGTTCACTCTGAATGTTGAGAGTTGATGGTGTGTTGAGAGTTTGTCCCACGTTGGTGGAGGACAAGTCTAGGTAAAGGCTTATATGATCTTGAGTTATTCCTCATATTGTTTATTGATTATATGGTAAAATTTCAATTTCATCATTGTATTAGAGCATGTTGTTTCTCGTGTGAAAGCTCAAAAGGAACACATGTTGATCAAGCATCACCCATTTATTGTCTACGTGTAGACTTGAAAATCGATCATACGTGCGAATGTATGTTGAAAGTTAATGGTGTGTGGAGAGTTTTTGTTTCACATCGGAGAAGGACAAGTCTAGCTAAGGGCTTATATAATTTTAAGCTGCTCTCCGTATTGCTAATTGGTTTTACGGTGAAATCCCGTTTTTATCACTAAATCATTAATAAGTTTATCTCAGACTTTCAGCAAATCTTCTCCTCCTCCTTCATTACCTTCTTCAACTTTGTCCTCAATTTTCTTGGGGGCAACGGTGAGTCCATCAACGAATTAGAAGAACCCAGCGGATAATGAAATGATCGAGATTTCGATTTGGGCTTAGTTCGCTGCTTCTCATCTGGATTATAGCTAGATGATGAGAAAATTGCGCTTTCCGGAGAGGAATTGGAGGAATTTGGAGGAGATGAAACCAACCCATTGGTCGATTTCGCCTTTGAACCCATTTCCCACCTGGGTTGTATTTCGATTTTCCTTTCGTTTTCTTCCTGGCTGTCGAGGAAGTGCACCTGGGTTTTAGTACGACATGACAAACAGTTTTGTTCTCGAATTTGCATTCGCAATCGGTATTTTTCTTGGGATCCCTATGGTTGCTTCTTTGTTACACCCAACATATCAGTTCGGCAAGCGCTAACACCAGCATCGACTCAAAGTCTTCAACACTGAGATGAGTCGACGATGGTGCTAGCACTAGATTGAGGCTGATTGTGAAGGAAGATGGGTTTAGGTTAGGACTTTTTATTGGGGTTGTTTGTTGGATTTACCCACCTGATGAAGACGACGACTTTTTTTTATCTTTATCTTTTTTTTTTTTTATAATTTTACTAAAAAAATTATTTTCAAATTGTCCTTGTGGAGCCGCAGTACCACATGGATTCACAATCATCATCCAGTCAATGAGCCATGTCCTTAGCTAACTAAGCTCCTAATGGAAAGGCTAACAGAAGTATGAAAGTGTAACTATGAAATTTCTCCGACAAGAAAGAGAATAGTCCCTGAACTCATTCGAAACTGATGCCCAGTATCTAACTCTACCCTATAGTTCATCTACTCCCACTCCCTCATAATCCTCAAAATTCTTATACTACACACAAACCAAATGTTTCAAAAAACTGCCAACGCCAAACGGCCCCATAGCTTTTTCCCCCTTCCTAGAAATCAAAAATTTCTAAGCCAAGCAATTATCCTCAACAATCATATATATATTTATTGGTAAGGGGAATCAAAATCGAGCACTAGGATTCTGTGTTCAATTAAAATAGTCACTATGTTTTTTGTTTAACGTTTAGAGGGTCATTGTATAGAAAACTATATAGAAAGTTCCTTCACTTTTTAATACTTAAAATACATTCAATGGAAAAACAACATTGATGTATGGTTAAATTCTATATTCTGGTGTATAGCATACACCGAAATAACAAAAGAGTGGTTAAAGAACTAATGAATAGAGATGCAATGGTTAAAGATCTCGGATTATAATATATTCTAGTGCATATTAGAAAATCTTCTTGTTTTGAGATCTGATATAAATTAGAGAGAACGGATTCAAACTTAAAAACATCAATAGTGCACTGCTTTGACTAACTTGGCTACGTCCAAATCTGCAATGATGTCTTGTTAAGTTGTTATCAAAATAATTTGTGCACAAATCAATTTGACTTCTATTTTAAAATATTAATCTTTCTTCTGCAAAAACTGAGGGTAATGCAGACAGGCTAAAGATAATATTTTCAAATGAAATTAGATATAAAATGAATATATTTTGAGCGGCAATGAAGTTCAAAACTATACGTTGCGACTTATAAGAAATTTCCAAGAAATACATGGAGGGTGAGGTTCCCCGTTCCCCATTTCCCGGCAGGAACTTGAGATCTCCAGTTCATTTGAAACGCAAGAGTAACACAACTCAATATAAAGCAAATTACCAAACAAATAAACCCTCAGGATATTCCTCCAGTTCATTTAAAAAATTAACACAGAACCCAATCCAACACAGGAAAATCCAAAACATGTTATCCAATCCAATCCATTAAAACCCAAAGATGTCAAATTTATAGATTTTAGCACATAAAAATTGAAACTTAAACACTGAAATAATGAATCCAGATAGAGATCTCCTTTGAATGCAGTACTGCCCAATAGGGGAAGTGGAAGCAAATAAACAGAGGCAGATCTTTGGTTGCAAATGCAGTATTGGGCAGATCGAAGCACTACAAAATACAAAGAAATCGAAACAAGCAAATCAGAAAAGAATACAAAGAAATCGAAGCACTACAAAATACAAAGAAATTCAGCAAAATTAGGAACTGGGTGTTAATAACACCGAAACAGGCAAATCAGAAAAGAATAATAATGCAACTTCAAATTTACTTCAAAATTAATTAACACATTTCCTTAGCCATTAGCTGAAAAAAAATAAGGCCAAATCGGATAAATGACCCTTATGGTCATAAGATATTCGGAAGATAGCCCCTGTGCTAAAAAAAACTTGAATTTAAACCCTTGTACTTTACTCCGTTAACAAATTTAGTCCAAAAGTGATTTTTCCGTTAACTCTCTCTCTCCCTCCCTCCCCCCCCTACTTCTCAAAAATTGAATGACTCTGTCTTGGTGACCCGATTTCCAGAGATTCAATCCTTTCCCTTCCTTTCTTCCTCCATTCTTCATCTTTTTCCTCCAAATTTCACTACCCATTTCTTCTTTTCCCAGAAATTCAAATCCACGTTTCAAATTTATCAGAATTCAAATTCCAGAAATTGCAAATTTCCATCCTTTTTTTTTCAAAAATGTTCTAACCCATTCTTCCTGCTCTGCACGATTAATTTAACTACCCAAATCAATCCAATTTCTTGAACTTAATCACATTTTTTATATTAATTACTAATTTCTTTATTATTCAAACAAATTTCAATCTAATCCCATTTGGGTCTCTGTTTTTTTTCTGCAAAACTACCCAGAACAGAAACAGAGTAATCCAACAAAATGGCGCAACAACCACCCATTAAACCGATTCTCCAGAAACCTCCAGGATACGGATACCCGCACCAACCGGGCCGGCCCCTACCCAGTCCACTAGGCCGAAAGCCCAACATCCCCCCTTCCGCCCAAAGCCCAGCCGGGGGAGCAGCTGCTACTGCGTCTTCTGCGCCTTCCTCCTCATCGTCGTCATCCTCGCCGCCCTCACCGGCGGCATCTTCTACCTCCTATTCAACCCCCGCCTCCCGGCCTTCTACCTCCTCTCCTTCCAGATCCTCAAATTCGAACCCGTCTCCAAACCCGACGGGACCCACCTCGACGTCCAGGTTGTCACCAGTGTAGAGGTGAGGAACCCCAACCCGAAACTCGACATCTTCTACCGCGAGGGAATCAAGATGTACGCGATCCTCGGGAACGAGAACGACGTAGGGTTGGGGCTGGGTTCAAAGCTGCTCAAAGGGTTCACGCATAGGCACCGGAACACAACGAATTTCAAGATTGATATGAGGGTGAGGAACAAAGTGGTGGATCAGAAGGTGGGGCGGGGGCTGGCGGCTGGCGGCGCAGCTGAAGAGTAAGGAGATAAAGGTGGCGGTGGAGGGAAAGATAAGGATTGGGTACGTGATCAATGGGTGGAGGGTTGGGACGATGCAGATCAATGTATTAGCAGATAGTTAACAGAAAAATCATTTTGGATTATATTTGCAACGGAGTACACCACAAGGGTTTAAATCTGAGTTTTTTGAGCACATGAGCTATCTTCTGCGTTTTTTTAGCATACGAGCTATCTTTCGAATATTTTATGACCACAATGATCATTTATCTAATTTGGCCAAAAAATGAATATATAAATACTTGTACAAAAGAAGGTGTCCTACAGCTGACTTGCAGAAGAAACACTATATTTGTTGTTCCAACACATTAGTCTTCAACACAACAATCTACTACGACTCATTATCTCAACCCACTATCGAGCACACAACAAAGGCAAGAGTGTGGGAGTAAATGCGTTGCTAATTATTCAAACTAAACTAAATGATCCGATTGACCAACTCAAAAGGAAAATCATTTATAAAAATCAAGCACTAGTAATTATATAACTCGAGCAAATTTATACATCATCTCCCCCTACTTTGTGCTGATGAATCATCACTAAGGGCAGACTCACAAAAGAAAAAATAGGGACCCGAAACATTGCCCAAAACCACGAAATATCGATGCTGACCGAAACATTGTCGTTCATAAATTCAACCTCAATTACTAAATAAGATCGAAACATTTGTCGTTCATAAATTCAAAGACAAACTTAATCCATTTCTCATTGTTAACATCTGAAAATATAACCAGAAACAAAATGTATGTCAGCTTCAAAATGAAAAACAAGTTTCCTTCAGGTAGCGGCTTCATACACGCGACACAACCTAATTTCGTTGTGAGTCATATAATGTCCACAAAAAAAATATATAAGCTGTACACCGGAAATCTTTCGATGAAAACCCAATTTCAGTTAGATGTCAATTAACGAAGTTTTCCATCCTTCGCAATTTGATGATTTGTGTAGCAAACCAAAATTGCGCATCAGAGGACGTAGATCTCACTAAGTTTGGCTCATGACAAGAGCAATACATGATATCAGACTATTATTCACTTTCGAAAAATGCCCAGAAACAAAGAACACAGTATAACTCTCCTTCATAAAGCACAAGTAAGACTGTAAGAGAAAAGCTGGTTTAGGTCACGGAAAACCATCATATTTCATATGACATCAGATCACGGATGAAAGACAACCAAGTCACTACAGCTTTCAAGAGGCTGCCGAACTGGTTTGTCAGATAAAAGTTAATAGGTTCTTCAATTAATCAAACAGAGAACAAGATCGAACCTGGAACTTGGAGATGCAGATTCCACTCTGTGGGGAAGAGAAGAGAGGGTACGGGAGAGGATGAGGAGGAAGCTTTCGAAATTGCAGCAGGAAGAAGAAGCTTTATTAGGGTTTCATATTTTTTGGTGTAAATATTGAAAAAAATAAGGGGCATTTTTGTCTTAAAAATTTATGATTTTGTGTTCTATGGGATGGAACGAGTTGTTCCAAGAGAGAGGTAGAACAAAAATTCAACCAAATTTTGTTCCGTGGGACAGCACATTCCAGGAAAAAATGGCACACCAAACGTGGGACGGACACATTCTGTCCCATCCCACATACTAAACGGTACCTTAAGCATGAAAGTGGGACGAGAAAAATTTTATGCATGAAAATTGGAATTTTACAACCAACCTTTAAAAGTAGTAAAGTGAGAATCACGCTATAAAAGAAGTCTCTTTATTCGCATTCATTTATAGTATTCACTTCAAAAAATAATGTATAACATTATATTTTGGGAGCTGCTGTAAGCTTTTGCACTTATATCAAGTATTTTTTTTAGGGTAAATATCAGATTATTACTCTTAAGTTTTGTGGTTTTGAATATTTGGTATATAAATTTTTTTTACGTAAAGTGTTAATTTTAGGATAGTCTCATATATCTGTTAGTTAAACAATTAACTCTGCCGTTAACTGATGATGTGATGCCTATGTGGACAATGACTAGACGTTACGTGTCATTAAGGGGTTCACGTGGAAATTAAAATTTTCAAAAAATAATTAACTAAATATTTAAAAAATTAAAAAAAAAACTAAACTAAACTAAAAAACCAAAAAAACCCACGCACACCCAGATCATTCTCTCATCTCTCCTTTCCACTGAGCCCACCCCAAACTCAGTCATGGCTTCTCCCTCCCCTCACAACTCCAAGATATGCAACTCCCACCCCTGTGCCACTTGTCATTCTTCTCCTCCTGCTCCCGACTCCTCTCAATGCTGATATGCAGCACACTCCCATCCTCCACCTCCACTTTCACCTCCTCCTTTTTTATCCTCGGGAGGTCCGCCTTGAAGATGTGGGCCTTCGGGGTCTCCTTCTAGTTGATGCAAGTGTTGGCGATGGCGGTGGTTTCACGGGCGGAGAAGGGGATGTTGGCCAGAGCGCCCAACCCCTCAAATGGGTCCCAAATGTCTAGAGAGAAGGGGTCGAAGATGTTGCTTCGTCGTCCGCCAAAGAGACTGAGAGCCATTAGATGATGGGTTTGAGTTGGGCTTTTGCTGGGCATGAATTTTTGCTTAAGGACACGGGTCGACGGGAAGATCTGGGTGTGGGTGAGAGGGTGGGCATGGGTAGATTTGGGGAAGACGATCTGAATTTTTTATTAGGGACACAGGTCGAAGGGAAGACTATGGGAGGGTGGGCATAGGGGTGGGAGTTGCAGATCTTGGAGTTGTGAGAGGAGGGAGAAGCCATGGCTGAGTTTGGGGTGGGCGCAGTGGAGAGGAGAGAAGAGAGAAGGATCTGGGTGTAGGTAGGTTTTTTTGGTTTTTAGTTTTTTTTTTTAATATTTAGTTTTTTTTTTTTTTTTGAATTTTTAATTTTCACGTGGACCTCTTAATGACACATAGCGTCCAGTCATTGTCTACATAGGTGCCATATAATCAGTTAACAGCAGAGTTAACATTTTAACTAACGGATATATGAGATTATCCTAAAATTAACATTTTAGTATGACTCTGGAACGAAAAAAACTTCATGTACCAAATGTTGAAAACCACGAAACTTAAGGGTAGTAAATTGATATTTACCTTTTTTTTATGTATATATTTGGAGTGCATGATACTTTTTAGAGGGTGCCAATAACGCCACCAATAGTTTTTACGAAAACCTAACTCATATCCGCAAATGCCTTTTTACTGTAGTGTGGGACAACAATCATGTTTATGCATTATGGTATAGGTTCGATTTCCCACCGATTCCTCTCTCTAATAACTAATTATTTAATTCATTAACAATATTGTTCAACTCCAAACAATATGCCGCATGGACGGAGCCACCTTCGGCCTAGAGGGGGCGGATGACCTACTCAGTTTTTTTATTGTTTTTTATTTTTTTATTTTTTTTTTTATAGGGAAAAAAATGCACATAATGCATATAGTAATCCCATGTGATAGATTATTTTTGGCTATGAAATGTTTGAAGAATCAATTGAGAAATTAGATGGGAGATCAATAGATGAATAATAACATGATTATTTTTATAGAGAGATATTTGATGGTATTGGTAATTAAGAAAATGTGTCAAGTGATATTGTATAAAAAACCTTATGGATACACACACACACACACACACGTGTGTGTGTATGTGTTTTGTTTAGTAATTTTTTGAGAATTTCAATTCGTGACTTTGTTATTTGAAGATGGCCCTATTCATATAGATTTTTGGCTTCGTCCCTGATACACGGGCTTGCTTCTCACAATCCACACTTGCTTTTAATTAGTCATACAACCTAAAATATATACATCTATAATTACTTTAATTCAGGTTGAATAAAATGGTAGACAATAATTAATTCCCACTAGTGCCAAGAGGGTAGTGTTACATAATTAGGTATGGATTTCAATCTTAACTATTTTGTGTGTGGATTCTATCATTAATTGATACGTGTTCATAAATATAACTTTCTTTAACTCTGTTATCATAAACTTAACACTTGCCAATCAATGACAGAGGTAACAAAAATATCACACAAAAAATGAGTACAGAAGCTTTGAACTCGATTGTATTAGTCTCATGCTTAATGATAATTCAATATTATCCAGCATACGCAATTATTAGTTCAGCTAAAGTACTTACATCATCCACTTATAATCTTTACTTAATTTATGCGTCATTACTTATCATACATGTTTTCTTGTCTCTCTTAGTTATTGCCTACCAAAACGTTTGTGATGATCGGATTGTTCTTAGTTGAGATTCAGAATGATATGGGATGAAAACGTTTCTAGTCTAAGGATTGGAAAATTCTTGGACAGAGTCACAGAGAAGAGGTTTGATGAATTAAAAATAAGAAGGCTTTCTTTTCGTTGAACTTGCCCCTGCTTCTCTTATATAGCAAACTAAGAACATTTCTATAAAAGGTATCAAAAAGTTTACATCAACAATAACAATAAAAAAAGATAATTAGTGTTTATCAACCGAAATGTCAATTCTTATGTGGTATGACGTGGATTGGCACCAAAGGTGGTTGCTGTCAAATTCGACGGCAACTTCAAATTCATTTTCAATTAATTAATAAATATATTTTTATCATTTTTATTATTGTTTTTGTTCTAAATATATTTATTACAATTATAAAAATATAATAAATAATAGTTCAATTTGACGTATCTGATGGAGAACAAAGTTAAAAAAAGATCAAAGTGCCTTAGGCTTTCAATTTTAAATTTTATGTTTAAATTTAACATCCAAGGAGCTGCTAGCAATTTTCCTAGCAATGTGAATGAGTTGCAATATATTAATTAAATAATAAGTTAGGCATAAAACAACCGCACAAACAAAAGTAAAGCTAACTCTATCCATTCATGTAAAAAAAAAAAGCAAGGTCACTTGGGGTGATTTCTTTTTAGGATAATGCTAGGAAGTAAATTTATAGATAAAATTTTGTAAATTAAATAGCATGAAAATTGAATATTAAATTATTATTGATAACGTGTTTATTTTTATTGATGACACATTATTTAATTTATAAATTTTATTTATAAATCTAGTATCCCTAACATTACTCTTTTTTTTTAAGGAATCTTATAAAAATGGTCATTTTCACTTCCTATCTTAAGTATCGTTCCACCCAAAAAGAAAGGGGAAAAAGAAAAAGAAAAAGTAAAGCTATTTCCCTTATTGCTAGTCCAGTCAAGGTGATTTTTCAAAGCATGTTATAAAGAAAACTGGGTCTAAAAATAGGTTTGGAAAAGAGAAAAGAATCTGCTGTTTTTTTCTTAAGATTGTGGGTCATTGGCAACAGAAAGCAAAAGCAGACCACGGTCACTTCAATTGAAAGACCTCTTTCAATTATATTTGGACTCTATTCGCATCCATTTATAGTATTTGCTTCAACATATAATTTGGATAATTGGTATTAGCACTTCACTAATTTTATTTTACAGTTCTCATAAATATATATATATATATATATATATTTTTTTTTTCTAATTATAGAAAGTCTAGAGTGTAAAATAAATTTTTAAAGTACCAATAACAATTTACATATTTTATAACATTATATTTTAGGAGCTGTACAGCCGATTTCACTTAATGAAAAAAAGCTTTGTTATTATTGTATATTTTGAGAGTTGTTGTTGGCTTTGCACATCTATCAAGTATCCTTCTATATATATATACATTTGGAGTGCAAGATATTTTTTTAGGGAGTACCAATAACGGCACTAATATTTTTGCAAAAATCTCATTCATATCTGTAGATGACATTTTATCACAATAGTAAAAAACAATCATATTTATACACTTTAATGTGTATTTGATCTCTACCAATTTTTCTCTTTTTACAACTAATTATTTAAGTCATTAACATAATCGTTCAACTCCAAACAATAAATAATCGGCCTAGCCTCTCACATTCCACGCTCGTCTTTTGCATTAATCATACAACCTAAAATATACATTTATAGTTTATTTATTAATGTTTAATAAAGTGGTAGAGAATAATTAATTCTCACTCGTGCCAAGAGGGTACTGACACTGTTACATAATTAGGTAGTATCCTGTTCTGTGGTTGGTGTGGTTGTATGGATTTCAAATCTTTTGCACTTATTTTGTATGTGGTCTCTCTATAGTTTCTATCATTAATTGACACATGTCTATAAATATAATTTTCCTCACGTGTCAATTAATGACAGAGATCATAGAAATACCACAAACAAAATGAATGCAAAAGCTTTGAACTCGATTGTATAAACTCATGCTTAATGATAATTCAATATTATCCAGCACATACAATTGTTAGTTTAGGTAAAGTACTTACATCATCTACTTATAATCTTTAGTTTAATTTATGCGTACGTACTTATCATACATGTTTTCTAGTTTGTCTCAGTTATTGCCTACCGACACGTTTGTGATGATCGGAATATTCTTGGTTGAGATTGAGATTAATGTGGATCAATAAATT